AAATCACTTTCAGTTCAGTCGTTTTTTCAGTCGTGTCTGACTCTTTATGGCCTCATTTGGGGTTGTCATCTCCTTCTCCAGCTCATTTTACAGATAAGGAATTGAGGAGAACAGGGTCGAGTGACTTGCCCAGGATCACATAGCTGTTAAGTGTCCAAGGCAAGATTTGAATTCATGAAAATAGGTCTTCCTGATTCTAAGGTTCTAAAATATCTTAGTGTAAACTAAAATAATGTTTTAAAGTTTGCAAAGTATTTTACAAATATTATCTCATTTTATCTTCACAACAATCCTAGAAGGTAAATTATATTATCATCTCCTTTGTACAGATGAAGAAACTGAAGTAGACAGAAGTTAAGCGGCTTGCCCAGGGTCACACAGCTAGTAAATGTCCCAGGCCATATCTGAACTCAGGGCTGATTACAGGTCCCACTCTCTATCCACTGCACCACCTAGTTGCCTCAATATCCTGGACATATATAAATACACATATACACAAATACACACACACACACACACACATACATACATAAAAAACATTTAAAGAGAAAAGAAGTTCACAAACCCAAGTTTAAGAACTCTATTCTTAGTTGCCTAGATACCAAGTTAACTTATGTAGTGTCACACAGTCATCATGTGTTAGAAGAGGGAATTCTTCTGGCTTCACTATCAGTTCTCTAGCCACTACACCACAGTGCCACTAGTTTAGGCATACATTACAGAGAGTAAGCAGTTTTTGATGGATTTGCCTGGAAACCTTAGCCAACAAACCAGCATTGTTTCTATGTGAAAATAATTTTGAATTCCAAATAGTTCATATACGAACATTTGGAAGAGAACTCTTTTGCACATTGGGAACTGAATGCCTATACTTAAACTATACCTGTGACTATATGAGAAAGAAAGGCAACATGCATTTAAAGTGATAGAGAGTTTTTTTTAAAGTTAGAACAGGAATCTTGGTTCAATGTCACAAATAATTACCCTGACTCTTCCAAGTTAACCATTATATTTGACCCCTCCTCCCAAAATGAGATTGCTCAGTCAAATAGGCAGCACTTCTTAATCTGTGGGTATAGGGTTGCAAAAAATTTGGCAACAGTAAAAGATTTCTGAAAGTGCAATGACCAACAGTTAATACAAAATAAAATACATAATGAATCTGAGGTATTTCTGGCAGCACTTGCCCATGTTGTATTGGGCAACTTCACTGCAGCCTTGGTTTTGAACAAAGTATGTGCATTTTGCATTGTGCATGCCCTCAGGCCACACACTGTCAAGGAATGCTGCCAAAACACAAGAAGGGGTCGTGTGTAGAAAAAGTTTAAGCCCCAAACGGAACCATTTACCATTTTGTATTTGTGCCTTTGATGGTATATTCCATGATTGGTTTTAAAGAAGTTGACTGACTTTGGCCGAATTTTACAGCCATCAATGGGTATCAAGACATACTTTAAGTTTTATTTCTGCATTCATTTTATCTAGAAACTAAAAAGCATCTCATAAAATTTTCAAATGGGCAAATCTTATGTGATTTCACCAATGCCTAAAGTTTACAGAAACCCTAGTAACAAAAGGATGAAAATTTCTATATCATTCAATTCAACCATCCCTGATTTCCTTCAAAGCTCAGGTCAAATACTAACTCTTCCATGAGGCTGTTTAGTGCCTCCCTTCCAAAAGCAAGTTTTGTATATACTTATATGTATACATGTTGTTTCCTCTTTTAGAACGTAAGCTATTTGAGGGCAGGGACTGTTTCATTTTTGTCTTCTAAATCTCCAGGGACTGCACAGGAAAGAATAGTACACAAAGTAAGAACTTAATAAATGTTTATTAATTGATTAAGCAAATATTTATTAAGTGCCCATTATATTCAAGGCACTATACTAAGGAGCTGGGGATATAAAGATAAAAGTGAAACCACATTCTCTGCCCTCAAGATGATAACATTCTATTCATTATGCATTTCTGTTTCAGTTCACAGGTAAGTTAAACTAACTTTAAATCAACCAAGGTCACTGACTCAATGCTGACACATATAACAATTATTGATGAACAAAGTAAATTCAGCAAGTGTTTTGTTTTTCTATTTGCTTCATGATAACATTCAAAGGAGTTGATGTTGACCTACTTGTAGTTTTGTCTGCCATGTTAATACACATTTTCAAACTGGCTTATATTCTGTAACTTTTAATTTATTTTAGTGGAGTAGCTTCCAGAAAAAAATGTTTTGGTTGAATACCTTTAAAATAAAATTAGTTTGTAAATTTCCTGAACATTGAGTTTTTAAAATAAATTTTTTGATATCTTCTAACATATATTTGTGCTGACTTCATAACCAAAATAGCTTCCTCTTTAGAATTAGAGGATATTATATATTATACTGTAGGATATAAGTTGATAGGATAGAGATGGGGATGCGAGCTGTGATTTCACTGGTTCAGGGATGTCCCTAGCTGAAGAAGCTCCTAGTACCAATGAATGGCAGCACCTTTATTTGTAATTTATGGTTACTGCAGCAGCTGCAAGACTGCCCATTAAGAGAAAGTAAGGCCCAGGGGTTGCTACTTACTTATCCCTAGCAGTAGATGAACAATAGTGTGAAGTGATTCAGTAGTATATGTACTTAATAACAGGTCACCTCAATTCTACTTGATCCAGGGCAATTCCTAGGTATTCTTAAAGCTGAGAAGACTCACTCCCCACCCCATTCCCCATCTTAACAAGTCTGTGTATATCCATGATACGTAGGAGTTGGTTAGAATGAACCTTTTGCCAATGATTACACACACAGCTAGACTTAAACAAAACCTTAAAGCATGAGAAGTTTGAATTTAGCTCCTTTTTTTTCCACCCTCCCTAACTCTCCTTGCTTCAAGCACTTAATGACTCCTCCCATATCAAAAAATGTCCTCAGGTAATGTCCTGATGTCACTTACACCATGGTATGAATTTAAGGAATATGTGCACTCTAAATCAGAAAAGCTAAATTGGAATTCTGGCTCTCTCATTTTACTAGCTATATGATCATGAGTCACAAGTCACTTAATCTTACCTTTGAGCAAAACAAGACCTGGCAGCCAGGCAGGCAAGAATGTTGCCAAATACACTGCCAGAGTCTTTGATTTTCTGTCTCATGCCTAACCATGACTAAACAAAGGGGGCACTGGACAACCACAGGACAGCTGCCACAATTAATAATTATTCTTGATGCCTATATTAAAGCTTTGTAATTAAAGGCTGTAATCCTTAGGAGGGGGGTAGTTTTGCTAACTTTTTATTATAAAATGCTTTTTTTCTGGATTTCCTTATATCAAAACAAAAAAACTCACACAGGAAACAGCAGGACATGGTAAATGTACAGAACTGAAATACATGAATTAACATTACAACAAGCACCTCAAATAGCTTGTTTTTCTGACAGCTTCCCACACTAACTTGCTTACCATGGTAGATGATTTCTCCATGCTGAAAGTGAAGTTAATTTTGAAGCCTGTCCTCATAGAAATGGTTTTAAATTTATAAGATAAGTCCAAGGGAGGAAATCTTAGCTAACACTTAAGGCATTTAACTCCAAATACTCAATTAATAACTAACACTTATATACCACTTACTAAAGTACCAGGCCCTGTGCTAAGCACTTCACAATTATTATCTCATTTGATCTTCACAACATCCCTAGGACTTGGAGGGGGAACCTGAGGCCTCTAGGCCACATGTGGCCTTCTAGGTCCTTGGGTGCAGTCTTTTGACTGAGTCCAAGTTTTACAGAACAAATCCTTTTACTAATGGGATTTGTTCTATGAAGTTTGGATTCAGTCAAAGGGCCACACTTGAGGACCCAGGGCCACCACCCATGCAGGAGGTAGGTGCTATTATTATCCTCATTTTACAGATGTGGAAACTGAAAAAACTGAGGTTAAGTGACTTGCCCAGGATCATATAGTGTCTGGGGCTGGATCTGAAGATTGGACTGACTCCATGCCCAGCACTCTATCCACTAGCTGCCCTGACTATTGGTGACTAAGAGACAAAGGTTGAGGGAGAGAGGAGTGGAGATTCTCAAACCAACTTGCTCAGTTTCATCTGTCCTTGGTATTGCCCTCAAGATCTGGAAGCCAGGTCTAGTTCACAAAATTCTGACATTCACCATCTCACAGAGAATTAAATTCCTGGAGCATCTGTCTCATCAGCTTTCTGCCACAACGAAGAGGACAAATGGATGGGAAAGGCAGGAACCTCTCAAGTGACAGCCAGAATGCCTACTAAACTCTCACTTTTCCTCCATTTAGGAAATCAATGCCAGTATATGGAGGCATCTGCTCGTTTATAAACTGACAGATGGGTACAAGAAGAGCCAAAGGATGGCTTTCAGGGACAGCCTTCTGGCCCTCTCAACATGCAGTCCTTGCAGACACAGGCATAGGCCATTTCGACTCTTCTCTGACCCATGCAACCACATGCCAGTTGACAAAGTTGGGCGGAGGTTAGCACACTTTTACTCACACAGTCCCACAAACACAATCTGAGGTGTACTTGAAACATTATTTCCATGTGTAGGTCTAGCCAGGATGAAATTTACAATATCTTGTGGTGACTTGGATGAAGCCATTTAAAGGGTGATGTGGTCTCTGTGTGTTGACAGTAGGGCTTTCCTACTTGCCAAGGTAATTAAATTAGGAAGGGAACCTAACTGAAAAGAAAGAGTTCAGCCCTAGTTGTTAAGTAGCATTGCCTAAAATGATATTAACTAATGACACAGTTTGGAGAGTGGACTAAGGGATGGGAGGTGGGTCTTATCTGCTTTAAGAATACCTAGGAATTGCCCAGGATGAAAGAATCATAAGCTTTGGGTTTTAACTGATCATAAGTCCTCTCATTATGAGGCAATCATGGATCCCTTTTGATAAAAAAACTTGCAACTTATTTCTAAGAGGTCTGAAAATAAGACACAAATCACTTCCATGGTTAAATTAATTACTTATTATAGTACTTACTACACCAACAGGAAAAGCCAAGACAGCCAACATCCAGTCACGGAGAGAGATGAGCTTCTTTAACTGTCTTTCTTGCTCTTGGTTACTGCTCCCTCTGGTCAGGAGACTGGAAAGGTCAGTCAGTACACAAATTCCAAAAAAGACAGCCTGGATAACCTATAAGGCAATAACATCTCATGTCAACACTGATATAACAGGCAAAAAGAATGATGCAATGGGACAGCAAATTATTATTATTATTAAAGATTGATCCTTTCCATCAAATGGATTGATTAAAATAGCAAATGAAGAACTTAAAGAACAGAAAACTCTCTACTTAAATATCCATCCCCTCAGATGGAAAAGAAGAGGCAAAGCAGCATTTCCCACCTGATTTTTCAGTCAAGGGAAAGCACAACTGTAATAGGTCACCCTATGTGCTCTGAAGACTGCTATCCCATTCCCTGGTAGACAAAGACACTAGCTGCTGCAGTAGGCTCACTGAGATTGAAACAAGATTCAAGATCACCTACTTTCCTTCCTTCTCTTCTTTTTGAAGTATTTTCATTTTTTTAAATCAATTTTTTTTATTCTGAACTTCACAAACGGCAAATAAAATGAGTGTTTCCATACACAATTGTACATGAAACTGCAGATACATAGCAGGGATTATGTATAACTTTATTAATTCAACGGGTAACTTTCAAAGCTGTCCTGCTTGTCTATATTTCCTTCTGACCTTCATTCTGTTTTCTTCTCATCTGGGGAGCAGGGTTGGGGGAGAGTAGTCCTATCCCTAAAACTTCTCTGCCTCCTCCCAAATATGAAAAACAAAACAAAATAAAAAAAAAACAACCTTGTAATAAATATGAACTTTCAAAAAAAAAACCAAATTCTTTCATTGGTCATGTCCACAAATGTTATGTCTCACTCTGCATTGTGAATTCATCACTTCTCTGTCAAGAGATGGAGAGCATTTTTCATTATTGTTCCTCTGGAATTGTACTGGGCATTGTACAATTAGAGTTCTTAAAGTCTTTCAAAGTTATTTGCCCTGAAAATGTTGTTATTGTATAAATTTTCCTCCTGGTTTTGTTCACTTAATTTTACATAGTTCATACAATTCTTCCCAGGTTTCCCTAAAATCATCCCTTTCATTTCTCATGGGCCAACAATATTCCATTAGATTCATATATTTTAAGTTATTCATACAATTCCTCAATTTATGAGCACCACTCCTTAGTTTCCAGTTCTTTGCCACAACAAAAAGAAAACATTTTTCTACATAGGTCCCTTTTCTCTCTCGGGACAACAAATTAGATACACAACTATAATGAGATATAGCAGTATAGAAAATCAGAAGTAAAGTTAAAGGACCTACATTTTTTATATAAAAAGGGTTAGTTAATTTACAACTTTGTATCACTTAAGGAAAATTTCATCTTAAAATATGGGTTTCATTTTTGGAAGCCTAAGGACTAATGGAAGAAAAAAAAAGACAATGTTTCAGATGGAATCTAATAAAGAAATTGGAGTAGGCACAGATTTAATGCATATCATTAGCAAGTATAACCTTTAGCGGACTAAGACAAATATCTAAGAAGTGAAGAAAAGCTATTGAAGATGGTCCAAGGGATAAATATTTACATAAAACAGAAAAGAGAAAAATTTATGGTAAATGTGGGAAACCTACTCTAAAGCTGAAGCCTATTCAACTATGGAGTTCCTCAAAAGTGGCACTTGAAGGTCTAGTGGTCAAAGAGGGGAAAGTAATACTCATTTATATAGCACCTACAATGTACAAAGGCACTGTGCTATGTGGTTTACAATTATGATCTTATTTAATTCTCGTAACAACCCTGTGAGGTAGGTACTATTATGAACCCCATTTTACAATTGAAGAGCCTGGGGCAGACAGAAGTTAAGTGACTTGCGCAGGGTCACATAGCTCGTAAATGTCACATTTGATCAGATCACATTTGAACTCAAGTCTTCCTTACTTAATGTAACTTCACAGAACAAATCCCCTTCACAAAAGGATTTGTTCTGTAAAATTTGGACTCAGTTAAAAGGCCATACCCAAGGACTTGGAAGGCCACATGTGACCTCAAGGTTGCAGGTTCCCTACCCCTGGACAAGGTGCAGATTAAATAACCTAGTAAGCCTTCCCAGGTTCTCAGCTTTCATGAAGCAAAAACCTATCCAAAGTTGCATTGCCTTAGATAACCCCCACACCATTTTCTGAAAAACCTCCAAGTCATAGCCTCCCTAATCAATCATAAATTGAATTGCTTGTATCAGCTATGGTTTTTTTTGGACAACCTCATGCAGAGAAAAATTCAGTGACATTATAACACATGTCTTATCATATTTAAGAAATTCCTAAAAGGGCTAAAAGCAGAGATGACTCTATGAGCTGAGGTAAACAACATGTAATATAGCCCAGCAAACAATAATGCAAGTTACAGAAAGCATAGAGAAGGGTGGAAAATACATTCCCTTGGCTTGAAGTCATACCTTTTTCAGAGCCAGGGCTTGATACAGGGAAATTTTCCTGGCTCCTTTTACTTGAAATAAATCACTGATGGTGAACTTGAATGAGATACAGTTCTCTTTTGCTCCCATACACAACAGAAAATCCTCTGAAAACAAATCTTGGGTAGAGGCTGGGAAAAGGAGGGGACTGGGGATTAGGAAGCAAGAGTCATATATGGTCATCTATTAAGAAGCAAGAGGTTGATTTATGAATTACTATAGGGGCGTCCCATTGAATAACACAAGAAAGGGCATAAAGGGACTTCAAAGTCACCTACCTGGTTCTACCTTTTAGTGCTGTAGAAGTGCATTTCCATAATCTAAACCAGTCTGTTCAGATTATTTAATTGAAAAATCCCTAGTAAAAGAGATTCCACAAACCCCCTGAGTCAAATTATCCAGAGTTTAACTGACCTGATCATTTCTCCTGATATTTTAACAAACTTTCTCTATTTCAGCTTGACTTTTAATAGTCCTTTGTGCCTTCTTCAGTGGCCAGAGAATTGTGGCAGTAGAATTTAAGCTTACTATCTTCAAGGTTGGCAACAACTAATCCAGCTGCCTGAGGTGAGACAATTGAAGGGATGGCAAGACTCACTTTCTGATAACCAATATCTTTACTGACCATGGGAATTGTTTCATGTATCTAGAAAGAGAGACAGGATTTTTCTAGATCAATATTTTCTGAAATTAGTAGGATTATCCCAAGACATTTCCACATAATCCTAAGCATAATGCTAATTAGTATAGTACTTCAATTAATAAATGATAATCATGATAAAAGGTAGTCTTCATGGAAGTGGCCTCTAAGCCCTTTCATTTCCTGTCTTTTCCTTTCTATCTCAATCTTAAAGCTCTGTTGTGTTATCAAAAAGGTAGGATGAATCTGACAAAATTCAAAAGTAGTTTGGAGTTTGTAGCATCTACAAGAAAAATGAGAATTTTTTTTTAAATAAGGAAGACATTATGTAGAACTTGATACATATCACAGGAATATCTGGGTGGTAGTCATGAGTAGAAAAAGTTTGAGGACCCTTCATCTAGAGGCTACTAGCCAAGGTGTTCTGTTCATCATAATGGTAATGTTTTACCAAGGAGAGGTTAAACCATTACCAATTGGCCCTTCTGTTTATCCTTCGAGATTCTGTTTAATAAAAGCCACTAAGTCACAGATTACAAGTGAAAGGAATAAGAATGGAATACACAGAAGAGATTCCTAGGATGTGAATTCCTTCCTTTGAATGCAAAGAAGTGAGTGGAGAGTAGACAGGGTAATGTTGGGAAAGTTGCCAACCTGATTCCTAGCTGAGGCTCCTCAAAAAGAGAAAGCTAAATGCTATGAAAAGGCCACTGTCTTTCTCCTCAAAATGACCATGTGATATTCATTATTATCAACCCCATGACTGACATTATCCTCAAATACCTGAACAAATGAGCAAATACACATGGCATGTTGCTGGGATCTGTAAAAGTCAGTTTGCTTTCACAGATGGCATGGTATAATGGAAAGAATGGTAGATTATGAATGAAGAAACATGGCTCAAGTTTTGATTCTGGCATTAACCAGCTATATGACCTTGGGCAAACTACTTCACTTCTCTTGGATTCAGATTCCTAATGTATAAAAAATGTGTCAGACCATATGCTCTCTAAGATCCCTTTCCACTTTAGTGCCTTAAGATTCTATTTCTCACTTCAACAGTTTTCTCCTTAGTCTAACTCAGAAATTCTTATACATGTGTGTGTTTGTGTGTGTGTGTGTGTGTGTGTGTGTGTGTGTGTGTGTTTGACACAGAGAGACAGAGAGAGAGAGAGAAAGAGAGATTCCTTTGACAGTCTGGCAAAACCTATAAATGTCATTCTCAGAACAATGTTTTTAAAAGCATAAAATAAAATACACAGTATTACAAAGAAAATTAAAGAACAGTGAAAAAAAAGATGTCATATTTCCCATCCAAATTCACAGACACCTTGAAATCCTTCCTTAGACCTCAGGTTAAAAACTCCTGGTCTAATTCAACTAAGTTATATTAATCCTCCCTCACAGACTATGCTTTTCCAGACTTATAAATGCAACATGAAAGATAGCTTTGGCTTATTCAATCATAGATACTATCTATTTGAAGCTGCATCAGGGAAAACAGAAATGGAAATTCCCTTTACACAAATTAAATGGTCCAAGTTATGTTATTTTTTAGAAAAAAATGACTGACATCTCTTGTTTTCCCAACACCTTTATTTCTAAATACATTTCCCATCCTTCCTACCTACATAACAAAGATGAAAAAACAGAAAAGCAGTTCAACAAAACTAATAAACACATCAGTTGTGTCTGATAGCATCACTGAACTAATAAGTATTTGGGACACCAAGGTGGCACAGTGGATAGAGCACTGGGCCTGGAGTCAGAAAGATCTGAATTCAAATCCAGCCTCAGATACTTAGTAGCTGTGTGACCCTAGGCAAGGTGTCTCAGTTTTCTCATCTGTAAAATAGGATAATAATAGCATGTACTTCCTAGGGTTGTTGTGAGGATCAAATAAACTATCAGTTATAATGCACTTAACAAAGTGTCTGGCACATAGTAATAATTAGATAAATGTTAGCTATTATTAGTTATTATTAATTAAGCGCCCATGTAC